TGGGGCCTACTTTAATGACCTCATTCTAACTCAATCACCTCTTTAAAGACTGTATTTCCGAATACAGCCACTTTCTGAGGTACTGGGGGTTAGGAATTCAACACGTGAATTTTGAGGGCACAATTCAGCCCAGGACACGTCTCCATTCCCTGCTGCCGGGACTTTTGAGAAGCAGAGCGCTCTGTCTGTTGGGGGTGCTGAGAAGGAGTGATCTACCTGTGGAGTTGTTTGGGGCCACCTTCAGGCCCCGAGGAGAAACTGTCTGAAAATGACAGAGAAGAGCTTAGTGGTGGAGGGAGAGGCCCTGAGCCTGACACACCTGATTCCGGCTCTGCCTCTGACCTTTTCATTTCCAGTTACAGGAGTTAATAACTTCCCCTTTTTTTATTTATTAATGTAGCATGGTCAGAACGTTAGTCAGTGTTCCGAGGTTTCTAATAAATGAGTTGGTTAATGCAACCACCTTTTACACTGGAGGGGCCCACATCTCCAGGATGTGCAGGATGGAACACACGGCAGCTATTCACGTGGATTCAGGCTCCGAGGTGCCAGCCCTGAGCCGTCCTTTGGAACTTCAGGGCACAGTGAAGTGGGGTGCTGCCAGAGTCTCCCACAGATCAGGCTCCTCCTGTAAGGTTTCAGGATTATTGCTCCGAGGGCCACCTTCCCAACATACTATGGGCTCCTGTCCTCCAGCCCAATTCACCCGGCCCTGCAGCATGCCTGGCTTCAGGACAAAGCGTGGGGAGCAGAGGACAGGGCAAGCAGCAGCCCTCCATCCCTCCAAACGTCCCCGGAGGACGGTCTTTAATAACATAGGACAAGAACCAAACCAGCGTACCTGTGGGGTCTGGTCACATTTCTCAGAGGACAGCCCGACAACCAGACAGGATTCCATCGTTTAACCCAAACAAGGAGGCACCTGCTCTCCGGTATTGGACTGAGTCAAACCATCTCAGAGAGAAATTGCAAACCGAAAAAAGCAACACAGGGACAACCACCTCTGATAGCGTTGGTTTAAAAACAGGAAGGAAGCTACTGGCTGAAATGCCCATAAACGCTCAAAAAACCAGGCTGTCTTACCATAGCCACTAGCCACACGTGGTGATTTAAACTAAGATTAATAAGAATTAGATAAAAATTCAGTTTGTCAGCTTCAAGGGCTTGATAACCATGAGCAGCTAGTGAGGCAGCCAACTGGACGACAGGACGATGTGCCTTTCTATCATTTCACAAAGTCCCATCAGCCAGTGCTGCTCTGGAAGACTTCAGCCAACTGGTAAGAGCCCTGGGCAGGGAGCAGGAGAATGGCCTTGGGGAGGGGGCTATTTTTCACATGTAATCTTTGGTAGTCCTTGACATTTTTTTTTAACACGTCGTATATTATTTCCTACTGAAAGTTAAACATTTTAAAGCTTCAAACATTTTTAAGCATTTAAATGCACAGGTAACATAAGAAGGTGCTGGAATACGGAAGGGACCTGGCTCAGTTGCAGGGTCTAAAGCACATATGTCAAACACAAGGCCCGCGGGCCAAATCCGTCCCGCCAGGCCTTGCAATGTGGCCCGCACCGTGCTGTCATCACTGCACTCCGCAACGTTTCCATCACAATGACAGTTTATGACTGTTCAGTAAACCATTCGGCCCGCGATTTAGGCTGGATTTTAGATTTTGGCCCCTTCTCTGATTGAGTTCGACACCCCTAGTCTAAAGCCTGGGAGTGCCTGTGGGAGGCAGAGAGGAGTTCAGGGGCAGCTGTGAGAACAAGCAGCTTCAGCCGCCTCCCAGGGCGCAGCCGCACTCGCACCTCATTCATGCTCACACCGGAGCCACACGCTGTCCCTCCCATTTCAATCCTCTCAGAAACCTTGTAAGGTCCCCAGGGCGATTATCATTCCCCTTTATTTTCATTTCCTAAGGCTGCTGCAACCAATTACCTCTAACTGGGTGGTTTAAGATGATGGAAATGTCTCATCTCCAGTTCTGAAGGCCAGAAACCCAAAATCGATGCATCGGCAGGATGGGTACCTTCTGGAGGCTCTGAGGGAGACCCCCCCACCCGCCACGCCCCTCCAGCTTCTACTGGCTGCGATCACCTTCCACGAGCTTGCCTTGTCTGATCTTACCTCCACCCTCCCAGGGCCTTCCCCTCTGTGTCTCTGTGCCCCAAATCTCTCCCTCTGGTATCTTACAAGGACAATCGTCATTGGACTTAAGGCCCACCCTAAATCCTGGATGATCTCATCTTGATATCCTTGACTTAATTATATCTCCAAAGACCCTATTTCCAAATAAGGCAGAGGTGGGGAGCCTTCGAAGGTCCTTGTAAAGGTCCTTGAAATCATTTGGTCTGGCCCTGCCAAGGCTGTAGGGGTGAGTTCATTAAATGTTTGACCAAATATAGCAGGCTAGTTTTTTAACTTGGTAATTTCGTATTGCCTGCAAATGAGGTTATAAATATCTAAGTGGCCCTTGGCAGAAAAGAGATTCCCACCTCTGAAATAAGGTCACATTTATAAGTATGGGGGTTAGGACAGGGACATACCTTTTAGGGGAACACAATTCAACCCACTACCCCATTTTGTAGATGAGGGGTGCAAGGCTTGAGGGCCTCTCACACGTCCAAGATCACAGGACTTCTTCAGGGCCCAGCCCTTGCCAGTCCCCCTCCACCGACTCAGGCAGGAGCAGCAGCCAGCCCCTCCTCTCAGCCTCATGGCTCCCCCAGAGTGTCGCTTCACAATGGGCAGCACACACAGAAGAGCCGCCCCCTTCTCTGGCCTCGATTATCAGTCTGCCTCATCCTAGGATCTGACAAAAGATTACACTGTCCTCCAGGCGTGGGAAGGAGCCAGGCCAGGGGGCTCTGCGGGTATCTAAGATCAGATGGAACCCAAGCTATGCAGGGTGGTCTGTGTGTCTGGACTCCCAACGTCTGCAGGGCAGATCAGAGCCAGAGAGAAAGGGAACGAGTTAAGGCTTCTGGTGTTGGAGAAAAGGCCTCTGTTGGAGAATGTGCCAGCCCCCCCGGGGTTTTGCATCAATGTAGGGCTCTGGTCCAAAGGGCTCAAGTGAGTCTCCTCCCAGCTGAAAGCGACAGGAGAGAAAGGATAGCAGGCATGGGCATGAGTGTGCATCGGGGCCTGGCTGCACGGACCACAGCTGCCAGGATGGCTTGATGGCAGCCACGAGCCCTCGACAACAGGCAGCAGCACCGTGCTGACTGCCAGCAGGGCCCCTCCCAGAGAGCAGGGAAGGTCATTGTCCTCTTGTCAGCGGGACTGGAGGCTTTGACCAGCCTTTAGCCTCCATAGTTTTCCCTGAGACCCTTTTGGGTCCCCCAAGGAAAGACAGGACAGAAGATTGCCTCGGGGTCATGGGCTTTGACCTATATTTTCTCTATGACCTTAAAAAGCCTACAGAGTCCACTCTAATATCACCATCATTTTCAGTGAGGATCCTTATAATTAATAAGTGGAAGAACAAGGGTTGGACCTGCCTTGGATTTATTTGGGAGCTCGGTGCCCCATCCCTGCCTCCTCCTCCCAGTTCTTCTGTCAAATGTATTTGGGACTTTCAAGCTTCCTGTCAGCAGCCCCACAGCATGAAACCCAGTTCACTTCACCATTCAGGTCATGCCTACAAATAGAAATAGCTGAAACAAAAACTTCACTCCAATAGTTTTTATTCAAGTCTATGCTAGTTCAACATTTCAAAACACTGCTGTAGCCCAGGAACTGATTTCATATCTTATGAATGCATTGTAACTCCCAGTTTAAAAAACATCCTCAACACTCAGAAAAAAGTGTGTGTGGGGGGAATCATTCCTACTTTATACATTGTGCAGATCATCCCAATATTATTTATGCATCTGGATATTTTTTTTTCCCCATTGAAACACAACTTCTGACTTACTGAACAAAGAGTGATGTCATTACGTGTCATATCCTTTCCTCCTATCAAAACCTTGGGGAGGTCCTACTACTAAAAGCTAGCTCAAGCTGGACCATCAGGTCCTCTCCTGCTGGGCCCCCAGAGACTGAGTTTTCACACGAGGAGGCCCACCCTTGCAGACAACCTCAAGATGTTGATCATCAGTGAAGGAGGTTGGAAATGCCATGCAACTTGGCTAATGGAAGGCGTGACAATAAGGTTAAGGGCCACTGGCTCAGCTGCTGTGATCTATGTTCTGTCACTTCGTCAACATGGAGAGAAGCCTGGGAAGCATTATGACTCTCCACTCATTCACTGCTTTACACACCATCCTGCGAGAGGTTAATGCCAACCCTAAAAATGCCAGGGCTGCAACCACACACCTAAATTCTCAATCATCATCTGTGCAAAGCTCCCAGGAGGACAACCAGGAAGACCTGATATGAATCAGGATTCGAGCCACATGAGTTAGGAATCAACAAACCCCAGTTCTATTCACAGCCATATTGGTCTATACACCACCAAAACCCAAGAGAGAGATGATTATTTGAATAATTCAGACCATGTTTCCTGCTCCCTTCATCTATCTCCACCAAAAGAAATGAAAACAAACAAAAAAACCCCACACAAACTATTTGGACAGATTATTTATCACGACACCCCTCCCCTGATAGACCCCCCAAGGTTTGAAATAGAGATAAGATCACAATGATAATACCCTGTGGCTGGTTCGTGCCTGTTTTTCTATCTTCAGAATGGAATGGCTGGTACTGTCCCAGCATCTATGCCTTGATTATAAGTCATCTCTAATTGTTCTCAGCTCCCCCGCCAATACCACCATCCCCGTCAAACCAAAACAGTTAACCATGCTGTGGCTCTTTGACTAACGACATGCCTGCCAGGGAAGAGGTAGGAAGAAAGGCCCCATGGTGGGCCACAAGGTTCAACATACAGCTTGAGACCCCAGGCAATCATCTTGACCACATCCTCGGCAGTTTTGAGCAGACACAGAGAGAAGCCAGGCCTACAGAAGTCAGGAGCCAGCGAGGATCAAATGTCCACTTACCCGGAGGGCAGACACATTCCGATGGCGCTTCCCGAACAGTCCGGAGCTTGACTTGTCCCTCCAACTTCTGAAACAAGAAGAAAAGGGAGGAGAATGAGGATGAGCTTGAGAACAGAGAGCGGTAAAATAGAAAAACCAGCAAAAACCAATGTATATATATATAAAAAACAACAACCACTAGATCAACAGTGATGGGGATATTTTTGAGAACATTTTTAATAGGTCATTAAATTCTACAGACAGCTTTGGAATGAGAGAAGAAACAAAAATAAACATCGAGCAATTACTTGGGAGTCCCTGAAAAGGCGGCAGCACATTTCTGCTTTGTTATAACATTTTCAAACACAAATCAAGGAAAGCTAAAACGACCGTGCGGTCCCAGTGAAAGTGGGAGGCTGGGCAGGGCCCTGGCGACAGCTTTCAGTGCTCGGATCACACTGTCCGCTTTGGAGGCCCTAGGTCCCTCTCCGCCCACTGAGCTCAGACACAATTCACCAGGCCCAGGCCCATCCACCAGAATGGCAGTTTTCCTTCCTTCTTACCTATGGGGGTGCTTGACCTAGAATCGTGATCGGCAAACTGTGGCTCTAGAGCCACATGTGACTCTTTGGCCCCTTGAGTGTGGCTCTTCCACAAAATACCACGGCCTGGACGAGTCTATTTTGAAGAAGTGGCATTAGAAGAAGTTTACTCTTTTTAAAAATATATATATATTTTATTGACTTTTTACAGAGAGGAAGGGAGAGAGATAGAGAGCTGGAAACGTCGATGAGAGAGAAACATCGACCAGCTGCCTCTTGCACACCCCCTACTGGGGATGTGCCCCCAACCAACGTACATGCCCCTGACCGGAATCAAACCTGGGACCTTTCAGTCCGCAGACCGAAGCTCTACCATTGAGCCAAACCAGTTTCGGCTAGAAAAAGTTTAAATTTTTAAAAATGTGGCTCTCAAAACAAATTTCAATAATTGTACTGTTGATATTTGGCTCTGTTGACAGATGAGTTTGCCGACTACTGGTAGAAAATTTGGTTCTGTACAATTCAACAGAGGTCTCTGGGGATGCCCAGCCTTGTGCTCGTTTTAGGCTAGGGGTGTCGAACTCAATCAGAGAAGGGGCCAAAATCTAAAATCCAGCCTAAATCTCGGGCCGAATGGTTTACTGAACAGTCATAAACTGTCATTGTGATGGAAACGCAGCGGAGTGCAGTGATGACAGCGCAGTGCGGGCCACATTGCAAGGCCTGGCGGGACGGATTTGGCCCGCGGGCCTTGTGTTTGACACATGTGTAGGTGAAGGGAAAAGAATTACCACAGAAATCAAGTCAGAAGTCACAGCTCTACTATTATGATAGCTCACAGTACAGCTTGGCACCATCACTGCCTGATCTGACCCTAGGAGTAATCTCTGTTGCCCGATTTATTGTTCCTGCCTCACTGAGGGAACCCAAGGAACAACAACAACAAAAACAACAAAGACAAGAAATTAGTTGCAAATCTCAAATCTAGATTTACAATAGGAAAGTGAAGCAACTGGTCCATAACCCCCAAACTAGCCTAGGCTTGAGCCCTGACAAGAATATGCAAAGTATTAACTTTTCTCTAGGAAAAACAAAACAAAACAAAACAAAAAAACATAAAAGTCTCTCTAAAAGCAAAACAAAGCAAATCCCAAATGTGTTAACCTTAGTGAAAAATGCACTATGACGGGCAGAAGGAGTACTTGAGTTTCAAACACGAAAATGTAATTTTTAAAGCACTGCTTTGTCGGATGTGAAAAGGGCACCCTGGTCTTGAGCCCTTGAGGCCAAGCCTGAAATTTTCACAGAAGACGGGACTCCAGCCAAGCCCTGTATTGTCTCTGGCTGGAGCAGCCCAGCACCAGGTCCTGGAGCCAAAAATAAAATAAAATAAAATAAAATAAATAATAATAATAAAAGAAAAACCCAACCCATAACCAGGTTAGCTCCAGCTGCCTACAAAGCCTCTATCCCTGACTCTAGTCACCCTCATTTTCCAGATGGGCAACAGACAACAGATAGAACTAAGCCCAAGTTTTGGGGGAGCATGCATCTTGGTGCGAAAGCAGTGCTGTGACAGGCAGAGGGAATAGGGTGCTGTCTTTAAATGCATCCACCCTCTCCATCCTCACGGCACCTCTGGCCCACAAGGCCTCCAAAATCTTAACATGGTCAGGTCTCAGCCCCAATTCGGTTCCCCACCTGCCATGCACTCTTGCTCCATGCTGGAGCAGCCTGCCAGCAGCCCCCACCCCCCAGAATGCCTCCCACTCCAACCCCCAAAGCTTCTCCAGGGCTCCTGTGGCGGGTGGGGATGAGCAGCAGCAAGGACCTGGACTGGTGCGCTGATCCCTGGGGCACCACAGCCACGTGGGCCCTCACTGAGCCCAAGGCTGCAGAAGCTGCCAGGGCGTGTGGACAAGGGTGGCACCTCAGAACTCACCTTCTCCCCATTGTCTCTGCAGATGCTATCATCGATTTCAAATTTTACCTGGAAAAAGAATCCAGCCTTCTAGTTTAAGCCAATTTGTTAGTGGAGCTCTCGTCTGTTTTACTGTTGCTGGGTAGACTAGAAGTCACACTAATCCCCTCCTCCCCTTTCTTAAACAAAAGCATTTAATGATAAAAACAAAACAAAGCAAAACATGTAGCTTTCAACGACTGCGATCTCACCTGGGCCTCTGCCCTAAAGAGGAGGGGGCACTCTACCAAATACTGATAAGAAACACAATTACGTTTAACCTACTCTTATGTTAAAATAAAAAGCTGACCAGGAAACTATTGATGAAAGGGTAAAAAACACACCTTATTGTTTAATGCTAATAGAGGGATCATAAATTACTGGGATTGAATTTTTGTTCTGTCATGTATTCTAACTTTTTTTATGCCTTCATCTTTCTGGATCAGATGGTGAATCTGCAAAGTTTTCTCTCCAAATCCTCTACGCTACCCCCCTTCCAGGCCCCTAACTTTCTGTGTATTTGTAACTGTCCCTACTAAGCACACAGAGGGAAATGTTTGAATTAGAAATCCAATCCCATAATCTTTATTTCCATGTGCTTTTTTTTTTTAATTTTTAAGAAAATATTCTTTTGTGTCCAGGTTTAAGAAATGACTTAAAAGCTTCGACTTTTTATATTTGATTATTTGGTAGTACCCCTTGCATCTGTGAACAATATGGTCCTGGTTTTACATATGCAAACAAGTCCTGACTCCAAAAGTAAACAAAGGATGAGTTTCTGAGAAAAGATGAAGATTTGGGAAGCATTCCCTCCAGAAGTGTGGAGGAGGAAGAAAAGGAGGGGGACTTGAAGTTTTGAGGGAAGAATGGCAAGAGCAGAGGGAAAATTAATTAGGGAAAGTCATGTTTTTTAAAATAGCATTACACGGTCAGATGATAAATTTATTATCGAGCTGTTGGAGTGCTAGTCTGGAACATTTCACCAGATTTTCTATCACATCGTCAAATGGTTACATTTTGATGAAATATGAATTAACGTATAAAAAAAGATGTAAAGATTAATATCTGTAAAATACTCTAAATAAAGCCACAAAGACATTCTGATCCTTTGACAAAAAAATTGCTACTTTAGGGAATATACCATTAAGGAAATAAATCAACAGAAGCAAAAAAATATATATATATTCATGAGGAAGTTGTGCCTCAAAACAATGGGAGGGACTGTGCGTCCCTTGATGAAACTGTCATATCTTTATGAAATAGCATTATGAAGACCATATAGCAAGGAACAATATTTATGATACAATAAATAAAATGTCTACATCAGTAAATAAAATGTCTACATCAATAAATAAAATGTCTACATTCAGGCTTGGAGTGGCAGCAACTAGCAAATGCCACTCGCTTCAGTATTGGAATTATGGTAATTTACTTCTTTAGAAGTACTTTGTATAGTTGTAATACCATCTTCTCAGTAAAAATAATAAAATAAAATAAATAAAATCTTGGAAGTAGAAGAAGAGCCTAAATGAAGCCCTTAAATCTCCCTGTTAATGACAATTTTTGAATGATGGACAGATGACTCTGATTCCTCAGGAAGATCCAATTCCAGTATCAACTCTGCTAATGTGCAACACAGACCTTAAAACAATGGTTGTAACTGCACTGCATATGTTTAGAAAGTTAAGTAGAGGCATCAAAAATATTAAGTGGTCTAAACTGAAATGCTAGAGATGAAAACTATTATGGCTAAGATGCAAAAAACAACAACAACAAGGTATAGGGGATTAATGGCAGATTAGACATTGCAGAAGAAAAGATTAGTGAATTGGAAGTTAGCAATAGAAATTATCCAAAATGAACACACAGGGAAATAATTTAAAAGAAAGAATAAGCCCTAGCTTGGCTCAGTGATTACAGTGTCAGCCTGTGGACTGAAAGGTCTTGGGTTCGATTCTGGCCAAGGACACATGCCAGGGTTGTGGGCTCAATCCCCAGTGTGGGGCATGCAGGAGGCAGCCAATCAATGATTCTCATTATTGATGTTTCTATCCCTCTTCCTTCCTCTCTGAAATCAATTTTAAAAAAATAAATTTTTTTAAAGAAAGAATAACATCAGTGAACTTGGTTTCAAGTGTTCTAATATACAGGTGATTACAGTCCTCAAAGAACAGAAAAATAATATTTAAAGTAGTAATGGCCAAAATAATTTTCAAAACTTGAAAACTATAAACCCACAGATCTAAGAATCTCAATGAAACACAAGCACAAACATATGAAGAAAACTACCCCCAAGGTATATCATGAATTAAACTGCCTAAAACCAGTGATAAAAGCAGGCAGAGAAAAAACATATATGAACAAATGAACTCTCGTACATTGCTGGTGGGAATTTAAAATGATACAATAGCTTTGAACAACAGTTTTGCAGTTTCTTATAAAGTTAGTCATATACCCACTGGCATAGGAAAAATAACGTTAAAAAAAAAAGTTAGTCATATACCTATCAGTTATTCCTTTCCAGGGTATTTATTCTCAAGATAAATTAAAGCATATTCCATATGAAGACTTGCACATGAATACTCA